CCATTGGCCTTTTTGGCAGCCAGGGCACACTGCTGGCTCATGGTTAACCTGTCGTCCACCAGCAGTCCCAGGTCCCTCTCCACAGAGCTGATCTTCAGCAGGTCCACCCCAAGCCTGTACTGGTGCATGGGATTATTCCTGCCCAGGTGCAGGACCCTGCACTTGCCCTTGTTGAACTTCATCAGGTTCCTCTGCGCCCAACTCTACAGCCTGTCCAGGTCACGCTGAATGGCAGCACAGCCTTCCAGTGTATCCACCACTCCTCCCAGTTTTGTGTCATCAGCAAACTTGCTGAGGGTACACTCTTTTTTTGTTTTTTTTTGTTTGTTTGTTTGTTTGTTTTCCTGTTATGTGAAATTTTACTGTAATGAAAACGTTAGAGACCAAGAAGTCAGGTATGTGTTGAACTTGCCATCAAGATTATGATGTGCCTTCAAGCTCTTTTACTTTCTGGGGAGGCAGTAGTGGTTTTTAAAGATGCTATGTGCCTGATGTGAAACTTGGTGTTTGTCCAGTAGTGGAAATGTTGTCTCTGACAAGGGGTCAGCTTGTTTGGTGGCTCACAGCTCGTAGTATAGAGGAGTTTGTGGAAGAATATGTGCTTTCGTCAAAGTGGCAGTGTCTTTGGTTGGAACAAGACATGGTCCTGGCTTGTGCAAGTTTTCACTGTGTGAGCCCAGGACTGTCAAAGCATGTGTTGTACCGAACGCGGTGTCAACTGATGCAAAACTAGTCAGTTTGTGATGAGGTTCTGCTGTAGAAAGTGGAAAACGTGTTTGAACTTGGTTGTTCTGAGGCAGATGATAGTAACCACAGTATCTTGGATAATGCAAACTTCTGGTTAGGGTTTTAAAATGTTGGTGATGGAATAGCTGTTACTTCAGCCTCATCACTGATGGAAGGAAGATGAGTAGTTATGGTGCAAGTATCGGGACACCCTTGGCAGTCGGAAGCTTGTACTGGGCTCTTAGTGCTGGTTTCTGCATGCTTGCAGCTCTTGGTGCAGATCTTCTGCTCTCAATGCTGCAGATGGGAGAGAGAGATGTGAGGGTTTGAGGGTTTTTTGGCGAGGGGGCTGGTTATGTTGTTCTGCAGTGCTACAGAGGTATATTTAGTATGTGTGTCTCTGTTGCTGTGGTACAAGGAAGCTTGGCTTGCATGTTGGTAATAAGGCAAGCCTTTCCTTTTAATTTCTGTCACAATGTTTCTAATATATGCCCTTTGAAACGACTAATAGCAGTTGCATATTTTTCTGTGCCTTTAGCAGTAACAGCTTTTTAGATTCATAGCAGGTTTTTTGGGGTTTTTTTTTGTGCAAGACTTGGAACTTGACAGAATGCACACCCTTAGCCAACATTCATTATTCACAGCAACAGAGGCTGGCAGGTAGAAAAGCAGCTGGGGAGCTTGTGTTTCAACCAGGAGGCATAAGTGTTATCAGCCTTGACCATCAAGTAGTTCTTTTAAAGAAGAGTATGGGATGCCTATGGGTAAAATATGCTCATGATACCATTGGTTATTATTCACGTAGTTCTGTGAAAAATGTTTGTTATGCCATGTACAGGGGTTTGGAAACAAACAAGTGTGCATATGTGCTTGTATGTATATGTATGTGTGTAAGAAAGTCAGGTATTTTAGTTCTGCTGGTATATGCAATACTTCTGGGCTGTGGTTCCATACATCTTGAGTCACATATGAGATACAGATGGAGGCTTCTGTCCTTTGCTAACTTGGACATGTCCCTTGTTTTGTTTTTTCTTAGGGTAATAAACGCAGGGAAGAGCACGCACAATGAAGATCAAGCCAGCTGTGAAGTCCTCTTTGTCAAGAAGAAAGCTGGAGGCGCTAATTCTACACCAAACAAGAACTCTTCAACAAAACGGAGGTCATCACTGCCCAATGGAGAAGGTCTCCAGCTGAAAGACAATTCGGTAAGCAGACTTCTCTATCTTGTCAGTGGAGAAGTACAAAACAAGTATAAAAGGGCTTGGCAATTTGACACTAAAATATGTTTACTGCATGTTTTGTATATTTTCAGTTACCTCTTATTAATTATCTCTGCTTAAATACAGAGCACTTAACTATGTGATACAGAACACTTAACTGTTTTTCTTAACTCTAATGCTTGGATTTTTTTATTTCTTGCATTGAAAAATGCTCCTTGCATCCAAGATGTTTTAGTTTAAAGATGGGGAGGGGAGTACTCCTTGGATTTTCCTTTTCGTTTCATTCCTGAAAGTATAATCCTGAGAAATTTACTGTTGCGGAATACTGCGAGTTCAGTGGCTGTGGTTGACTTGTCCAGTGAGACAGTCATTTGGGTCCTTTTCACTGAAGCAGTATTGCGTGTAGCAAGGTTGGTTTATGCAGTTAGCGTATTAAGGTATAGATCATCCAGCACACTGAATTCAGATTTTTGCGGACTATGGCTCATCTCTTTGTGTGGAGAGTGATTTACATCATGCATTTGTCTACTGACAATCATCTGTTATTCTTCATCTGTCCTGTTTCCTGACTGGTTAATTACTTCATCTGCTCTTTAAGCATGAGCTCAGGCTCCAGCAATGATTGATAGTCTGTGTTTGATTCAGACATTTAGCTGGGTAACACTAAATGCCTGATCTGCATGTTGGAGTCGGACAAGTGGATATGCAGGCTTTCTGCGGCTGGGAGAACACAAGTTCTCTCTAAGTGATAATTAGCCTTTCAGGGGACTACAAGTACCCTTTTTCGTTTTTCTGTTTTTGTTCTAAACAAAGTGATTCCACCCCTCTACTCCACTTTGGTGAGACCCCACCTGGAGTCCTGCGTCCAGCTCTGGAGCCCTCAGCATGGGAAAGACATGGAGCTGTTGGAGCGGGTCCAGAGGAGGGCCACAAAAATGGTCCGAGGCCTGGAACACCTCTCCTGTGAGGAAAGGCTGATAGAGTTGGGGCTGTTCAACCTGGAGAAGAGAAGGCTCTGGGGAGACCTTATTGTGGCCTTCAGTACTGAAAGGGGGCTTATAAGAAAGCTGGAGAGGGACTATTTACAAAGGCATGGAGTGATAGGACAAAGGGTGATGGCTTTCAACTAAAAGAGGGTAGATTTAGGTTAGATACAAGAAAGAAATTCTTCGCTATGAGGGTGGTGAGGCACAGGTTGGAACAGGTTGCCCAGAGAAGCTGTGGATGGCTCCTCCCTGGAAGGATTCAAGGCCAGGTTGGATGGGTCTTTCAGCAACCTGCTCTGGTGGAAGGTGTCCCTGCCCATGGTAGGGGGGTTGGAACAAGGTGATCTTTAAGGTCCCTTCCAACGCAAACCATTTTATAATTAGCAGCCTGCTTCAGTGTCTCTCACAAAACCCGATGGCTTGGTACACCTGATGGCTGCAGGGATCTTCAGGATCCTGGGCAACAAGCGTTCCTCTTGCACTGTGTCCCTCCCCACCTCTTGCTCCTCCTGTTCTGTTTCATATTTCATTATTGCTGCAACGTTTTCAGACTGACAGGTTTTCCAGGTTTGCAAATAGCCCTGTTCTTTCCTCTTTCAAATCTTTCCTTAAATCACCTGTCCCAGTTCCTGTGTGCTGATATTCCTCATTGTATTCAGACAGTCATGATTTTTTTTCAAGTACGTTTTTGAACACTCCTGGATTGTGCCGTGTACCTGCTGGGACTGGGTTCTGTTTACGCTCATGCAAGGCAAAACAGAATTTGTCTTAATAGTCTGCATTTTCAAAAGTCTGTGTTAAAAAGCCTGTGCAGCTGTCTGCTATTGGCTCATGCAGACGCTGTGTTCCATGAATGCATTTAATTTTTGTATGCACAAAATATGTTTGATAAAGCCAGCATTTGGCCACAGTACTTGTTCATGTATATAAAACGCGTCAAGATAAGCAACAACATGCTTCGTCCAGGTGATGGGTTTGTTTGACACAAAGGACATTGCTGCGTCATGCACACAGCACACTGCACAGACCCCCCTGCAGACACCAGCCTGGAGAGACACATCTTGGTGCTGCGCAGAGGTACTAGCTCCGATCTAACACCATATTTAATTTTCAGGCCTACCATGTGAGATACCTGGTCAGGGGCCTCTGCATCTGGAATGTGGGTAGATGTAGCTGTAATGAATTTGCCTGTATTTTCATATTTTGGAGGCATGCATGGGACCTAGAGAGCTTTGTAGCAATAGTTCACAAAGTCCAGTTAACTTCCAGCTTTGAGTAGTATCGGATGCTTCTTGAGATCAAAAGGCACACTGTGTTGTATGGGCTATATGTCCTGGGTTTGGCCAGGACAGGGTTAATTTTCACCGGACTCCAGGAAGGGGCACAGCCGGGGGGTGGGGGCTGACCCCACCTGGCCAAACAGAGCCCGGTATTCCATACCATGTGACGTCACGCTGGGTTCCGGTGGGGTGGGGGGGGCGGCGGGCGGCGGGAACTCTCTCGCGGCTCGGGAGCGTGCGGCGCCGGTGCGGTCCGAGAGAGCGGGTCTGTTTTTGTCGTGTTTTCTCCTTATTTGTACCGTTGTTGTTCCTGTTTTCCCTCTGTTTGCTGTTCTGTTAAACTGCCCTTATCCCGACCCACCAGTTTCTGCCTCTTTCTTTCCATTCTCCTCCGCA